GTTGGCCCTTGAAAAAAATCTTAAAAGATGCACGCCTTGGTTGGCCCTTGAAAAAAAATCTTAAAAGATGCACGCCTTGGTTGGCCCTTGAAAAATATTCTTTAAAAAATCCACGCCTTGGTTGGGTACTTGAAAAATATTCTTTAAAAAATCCACGCCTTGGTTGGGTACTTGAAAAATATTCTTTAAAAAATCCACGCCTTGGTTGGCCCTTGAAAAATATTCTTTAAAAAATCCACGCCTCAGTTGGCCCTTGAAAAATATTCTTAAAAAAATCCACGCCTTGGTTGGGTAGTTGAAAATATAGCTCCGATTTTTTTTCATTCCAATTTTGTTTTTGCAAAATTCCTTTAATGTATATTTCAAACCGGAAACCTTGAACATGCCTAATTCGATACTCTATTTCTTCAACCGAACTCCACAATTGAAATTGGTCCGATCAAAAAAGAGTTTGGCCATTCTGGCCTTTGGAATAGAAAATTTCTATTATTCTACAAATTCATGCAAATGTGAAATATTTCATTTCCCCTTTTTGGCCTCTAATCCAGCGGCAAGGCAATAGGTCGGTTGGCATACCGTTGCTGTCCTTTTTCCTTTGCTTCCTAGTGCTTGTATTTTTTGGAGGATTTCCATTTAATTTTACACGGTAGTTTGTAATTGTGTGTGTGTGGTCACGTTACTGTTGCTGTTCCAGTTCCATGTATTAACATGAGTGACTTCATTTGCCATTTGGTTAGATGTTTGGAGATTTTGTAGTTTTCACTTGGGGGGAGCCACCAGTGCACACTCATCATCATGATGTCTGTGTGTGTGTTTCGTTTCGTTAATGCATTGCTAAAGTTTATCTTGCTGTTGTTGTTGTTGCTTTTTTGCATTTTCAAAACTTTTCCCAAAGAACACAAAAAATATGTAGTCTAATATCCGTGACTGAATGCAAAGCAAATGATAGATAGGCAACAATGGACACAATGGTTTTCACACGCCTCTGACAACGACCCTAATGATGAGGAGGCCAGCCAGTCTTTGGTAAGCCGGAGCATAAGTCAACTCAAAGTGAAACATTCTAGGGGGGTGGATTTTAAGCTGGACTGGCAAAGAGAAGGGAATTTCAGCCGGATTTTTTCCCCAGTTTTGTGGAGTCAATGAAGAAATTAATCAATGAAGTGCATTTCCGTAATGAAATCGTTTAGGTTGACCTCGGTTAGGGGATATGAGTGAAAAGTAATATTTGCGATTGGTTGCTGGCACTGAAATAAAAAGGAAATAAATTTAAATTATTCAATACTAGTGGCCAGGATAGTAGTTAAGAAATTTAAAAAAATAATGTTTTCACAATTCTATCACATAAAATTGTTAAAAGCAAAATTTCAAAATTAAAGAAATGATTTAAGTTAATGTTTTCAATACATACTACATGGCTTTTTTTCCTATTCACTACTCTCAGCATCTCTCCATCGTACATAGTGTTTGAGATAATTTCTATCCTCCGCCATACAAATAATCAATTCAAAATAAAAAAACCAGTGAGCGGAGCAGTATAGTCGGACGGGGCCGACCATATGATACCCTACACAACTACCACGAAAAGCACACTTTCGGCGGTTCTATATTCTGAGCCTGGGCAATATTTCGTGATATTTGCACCCTTTTTACCGATTTTAGATCAACAATTCCTCTTTCTTAGTCTTGCATATTTTCCAAAAAAATTGGTCACTTTAGGTTTTGGTTGATTTGACCCTCGGAAAATTGACCGATCATCATCTAAACAGCCGCTCTAAATATTTGGTCAGATCCCCTTCACCTTGTAAAATATGTGATGTTCTGCATATAATAATTGCCTCTAGAGCGACTAGAAAATCTGACAAAATTAAAGTTTTCAGTTCATTGCACCCCCTGAATGAAATCTCAACTTCACCAAAAACTATAAGCGTCGTCATTGACCATAATCGGAACTTAATGTACAATTTCAAAGCGATCAGCGCGACATTTCCGTCCTCTAATGGAGTAATAGTAATAATATGCACATAGTCACCTTTACTTAATTATGTATAACTCCCGCATCGGAGTACCTACAGCCATATAATTGGTATCAATTTGAAGGTCAACAACTCCTCTTGGATATACTATCAACTTCTCGGGTCTATGTCCTTCAGGAGTAAATATATACGCCATAGAATACAAATTTTGTCATTTTTCACACAAAAGTCAGGGTCCATTTGACCCGCTTAATATTGGCCGATCTTTATGAAAACAGGCATGCTTATTCTTTGGCCCAATCCCCTTCTCCATGGAAAATTTCACGATGTTCGGGCCATTATTGCGGCCTCTGGAGCGACCAGAAAACCCGACAAAAATTTAGTATTTGGTCCATTTCATCCCCTAAATATTAACCGATCTTTTCCAAAAACAATAGGGGTCTTCATTGGCCAGAACCCATCCTACATGCAAAATTTCGTGAAGATTGGTCCATAACTGTGGCCTGTATCGTGTTTACAAATTATAATGGACAGACGGACGGACGGACGGACACACACACACATGTCTAGATCGACTCAGCTAGTCGAGATATGACGATCGGTATACTTAAAGGTGGGTCTAGGACCAATATTTCGCGGCGTTACAAACATTTGGGGCTGCACAAAGCTATAATACCCTGACAACATAGTTGTGTAGGGTATAAAAAACTATTTCACAGTAAACTTACTTTAAATCCAATCAACTTTATTTGAATACGATAATAAAAATAATCAAAGAGAATATACCAAAGACAAAGAACAAACACCAGAAGACGACAATAATGCACTTTGTCTTTTTAGCAAATGCGCAATTTGGAAAAGAACACATGAACAACAAACAGATCGTGTAATAAAAAACAATTGGGATTCATTACAAATTATGGCAACGGTAACGACGACGACGACAATGATGATGTCAACAAGCTTCCAAGTGACAGCAAACATGAAAATTGTATTTGTCTTATAATTGGAAATGAAACGACAAAATACAAAAACAAAAATACCGAAGAAAATAAGGAGAAATTTATTTAAATGATGATGGAATCTAAGGGAGGAAATAAAAACAAATCTAATCATGGAGGGAGAAATTATAAGAATAAAACCAGTAAGGAAAGTAGTAAAGTCGAACTGGGCCGACTATATGATACCCTTCACCACTTTGCGTATATTGTACATATGTATCCTTACAATTGCATGTCAATGTTCCCTTGAAGGAATATACTCATGTCTTTCTGCAGCCTATGATAAATTTAATTTCATTTGGGCAGATTTGGAGTTGTATGCGTACCATGAGACAAATTTTTTCGTGCAAATCAAAGGATATATAGGGACTTTGGTGCACTATTTACCTAAAATCGGACGAAAATATATATGGGAGCTTTACCTAACTCTGAACCGATTTTCACGAAATTTTATACACATCGTTTTAGGCTTAATTCAGTACGCTATGCTAAATTTTGTCCAAATTGAAGGATATATAGGGACTTTTGTGTGCCATTTACATAAAATCGGACGAAACTATATATGGGAACTATATCTAAATCTGAACCGATTTTTCAATAGCGTTTGTCCTTTTTAACATGGACAGACAGACCGACGGAAATGCATAAAGACATAATACCCTGTACTACAGTGTGGTGAAGGGTATAAAAACACACGAAAAAAATATTCTTAGATTCAGTGTGGCATTTGTTTGTAGGGATGTGTGTGTTTACTTTTTTATGTAAGCCAGCTTGATCCCTTTCTTGTTGTTTTAAAAAATTAAAACAACAAGATTTTTATTTTTAAAGTGGGTTGATTACTTTCGGGAAAGGCAGAGAAGATTATAGTTTCGGATTTCGCCACAAATCCTCATCAGTTCTCTTAGTTTTTTGCTTAGGATATTGTCCCGGAAGTCTGTATCACTCCACTAAACAAAAAACCCTTCTTCCCCAATTTTCCTACATCCACAACGTCAAGCCTAAGTACTTTTAGAGTACACCACTCTGTTTGAGAATTCTCTAAAAGTCTCAGAACATGTTGTGGCGGAACATGTAACCATGTGCCATAACTTCACTGTTATGCGACTATACTTTGCAGAGAATTAACATAACATGTTTGTTGGTATTTTTAAAAAAAAATCCACGCCTTGGTTTGTTAGTATTCTTTAATAAAAACTTGAAAAAATATTCCTTAAAAAATCCACGCCTTTGTTGGGTACTTGAAAAAATATTCCTTAAAAAATCCACGCCATTGTTGGGTACTTGAAAAAATATTCCTTAAAAAATCCTCGCCTTGAATTGGTAGTTGGAAATATTCTTTAAAAAATACACATCTTGGTTTAATAGTTGAAAAATATTCTTTAAAATATCCACGCTTGGTTTGATAGTTGAAAAATATACTTTAAAAAATCCACGCATCTTGGATAGTCCTTCAGAAAATCCACTCTTATAGCTCGTATAATCCTTTAAAAATATTTTAATATTTAATAATATTTATTTGAAATCAAATTTAAATAGAAAAAATACATTTAAAATACTAATTTATATATAAATATCTCAAAAGAAATACAATCGCATTACAATCTAGTTAAATTAAAAGCTAAACTAGTTTTCAATTATTATGCAAATTTGTGTGAAAGACAACAATTGGAATGTTAATACTTATAAAGAAGATAATAAAGTATTTAAAATCTAACAAAAAAATATGTATATTATTAATTTTTTTTAAATAGTAAATTTTTTATACAAACGAGAATTAAGTACATAAGTGAAAACCTAAAAAATATAATTAAATTCTTGCATTTTATTAAAGTAATATTATTCTCTACTTTCTTAAAAATAAAACTTTACCTTTGTTCTATGTTGAACCGAATTTTTCCAAAGAAAAACTAAAATCATAACTTAATTAAGAAAAGTTTAAGTCACGCGCACACACACACCGAGTGTAACCACAAACATATTTGCGCGCTCTATATGTAAAGGGGAAATAATAAAAAGTGCAGAATTAAACATTATGTGAACCTTCTTCACGATTTTCATAAGCCCAGAATTTGTGAAATTCAATTAGGATGGAGACAACGGTTTCAGCTTGGCCACTGCAATGAGAACAAAAGAAAGAAAGAGAACAAAATTAAAAACAAGAAAAATCAAATGTAAAAAATAATAAAAAGAGGGAAAATTGAAAATAAATGAAAAGGAAATGTGAAACTCATGAAATATAATATCAATGTATATATGCCACACCACGACAAAACAAAGCCGAATGCCAGAGTATAAATTTCCAAACAAATCTGCCACTGCTGAACTGGTGTGTTGAGCAGCAGATCTTTACAAAAAAACCAGTAAGGAAAGCAGTAAAGTCGGACGGGGCCGACTATATAATACCCTTCACCACTATGGGTATATTAAACAGGATTATAACATAAAATTGGATGAAAAAAAATGTGATATTTATCTAAATGTGAATCTACCTAGATCTATCCATAAAGTATGTCAATCGACTTCAAACAAATACAAATAGGTCATCCGTTGGGCTATGTCTGCACTTCTAGAAAACGCAACTACGTAATTCTATGCTCAATTTTGTAAGTTGTGCAAAATTTGATGTCAATCTGACCAACATGAGGAGTTTGATGCCCAATTTACTTGAAATCGGGCGAAAATATATATATGGAAGCTCTATCCAAATATTGAGCGATTTCAAACAAACTTGTCACAGGTTAGGTTTTACTAATTTCAGAACGTTTTGTTCCTATTGGTTCCTTAGTACGTCAATTACTTAAAATCAATCTATAATAAAAGGGAGCTATATCTAAATCTGGACCGATTTTCACGAAACTTGGCAGACATCATTCTAGGCTCAATTAAGTACGTTATGCCAAATTTCGTGCAAATCGAAGGATATATAGGGACTTTGGTGCACCATTTACATGAAATCGGACGAAACTATATATAAGAGCTATATCTAAATCTTGACCTATTTTCAGGAAACTTGGCAGACATCATTCTAGACTCAATTCAGTATGTTATGCCAAAATTCGTGCAAATCGAAAGATATTTAGCGACTTTGGTGGACCATTTACATCAAATCGGACGAAACTATATATGTGAGCTATATCTAAATCTGGACCGATTTTCTCCAAACTTGGCAGACATCACTCTAGGCTTAATTCAGTACGTTATGCCAAATTTCGTGCAAAACAAAAGATATATAGGGACTTTGGGCACCATTTACATGAAATCGGACGAAACTATATATGGGAGCTATATCTAAATCTGGACCGATTTTCACGAAACTTGGCAGACATCATTCTAGACCTAAATGATTAGGCTGTACCAAATTTCGTGCAAATCAAAAGATATGTAGGGACTTTGGGGCACCATTTACATGAAATCGGACGAAACTATATATGGGAGCTATGTCTAAATCTGGACCGATTTTCTCCAAACTTGGCATACATCACTCTAGGCTTAATTCAGCACGTTATACCAAATTTCGTGCAAATAAAAAGATATATAGGGACTTTGGCGCACCATTTACATGAAATCGGACGAAACTATATATGGGAGCTATATCTAAATCTGGACCGATTTTCACGAAACTTGGCAGACATCATTCTAGACCTAAATGATTAGGCTGTACCAAATTTCGTGCAAATCGAAAGATATATAGGGACCGTTTACATTAAATCGGTTAAATACATATATGGAAGCTATATCTAAATCTGAACCGATTTTTCCCAATTTCAATAGAGTTCGTCCTTGGACCGAATAAGTGACCTATGCCACATTTCATCCAATTCGGATCATAAATGCGACCTGTACTTTGTTTACAATTTAACATGGACAGACAGACGGACGGACGGACGGACGGACATGCATAAATCGACTTAGAAAGTGATTCTATGCATATTCTCAAAAGGAACCATGTGTCTATCTCGTTTCCTTTTGCCTGTTACAAACATATGCACAAAGACATAATACCCTGTACCACAGTGTGGTGAAGGGTATAAATAGTTACAATGCCAGGCAGCCTCATTGCATATTCAATATGTATGATTTTAATTAATATCTGCTAAATTAAATTTACGTGCATCACTGAAACGATAAGTGAGAAATGTGACGATGAGCATGATAATGATGATGTTGATGATACTTATGGTCTTCGTTTTCTCATACTCCGCATCATCATCATCATTATCCACGTAATTATTATTGAAAAGAAACATGAAACATGCATTACACATACAAGAGTATATCTATACAGGATTTTTTGTATGTGTGAGTGGATTTCAGATTCCATGTTTAATGTTAGGGCAAACATAATCGAAGAATCAGAAAAAGAAACAAAAAAACGCAACACCAAACAAAACCTTCCATACCTAGAGCTATGTATATTCGTACCTACATTAAAAGTTCAGATTATACATACAATGTTCACTTTAATGTTTTATAGATATCTGTGGGTATGTGAATGTAATATTTCATTCATTGATTTAAATGGATGGTGTGATAATGAGTGGGTGGTAAAAAGAAATATAAATATTTTAAAAAATGGACTTGGAGTTGGATCAAATGGTATATCTAATATTGAAATCTTTAAAAAAATATATAATATCGACTACTCTCGAACTAAATGCCAAATGCCTCACTCCAACTAAATGTCAAAAATTTAGTTCTGAACCAATTTGGCACAGCGCACTTAATTGAGTCTGGAATGACATGTGCTAAGCTTCGTGAAAATCGGATCAGATTTAGAGATTGCTCCCATATTTATTTGCGAACGATTTAAACTATAAAGAACCTTATATATCTTTCATGGCAGTTATTGAATGTCGAGTAGTCTATAAAAATATAAAAATAGCGTGAATTATTGAATTTTTTTATTGGTTTCTCTATCCAGAGTCTTCCCGTTATAATGAAAACCGTCATAATGAAAACCAGTAAGGAAAGTAGTAAAGTCGGGCGGGGCCGACTATATGATACCCTTCACCACTATGGGTATATTAAACAGGACTATTAGAATTTCATGCTGGATGAAACAAAATATGTGATATTTATCTAAATGTGAATCTAACTAGATCTATCCATAAAGTATGTAAATCGACTTCAAACAAATATAAATAGGTCATCCGTTGGGCTATGTCTGTACTTCTAGAAAACGCAACTATATAATTTTATGCTCAATTTTGTACGATGTGCAAACTTTGATGTCAATCTGACTAACATGAGGAGTTTGATACCCAATTTACTTGAAATCGGGCGAAAATATATATGGTGCGTCAATTACTTAAAATCAATCTATAATAAAAAGGGCTATATCTATCTAAATCTGGACCGATTTTCACGAAACTTGGCAGACATCATTCTAGACCTAAATGATTAGGCTGTACCAAATTTCGTGCAAATCGAAAGATATATAGGGACTTCGGGGCACCATTTGCATGAAATCGGACGAAATTATATACAAGAGCTATTTCTAAATCTGGACCGATTTTCTCGAAACTTGGCAGACATCATTCTAGGATCAATTCAGAACGTTATACCAAATTTCGTGCAAATCGAAAGATATATAGGGACTTTGGGGCACCATTTACATGAAATCGGACGAAACTATATATGGGAGCTATATCTAAATCTGGACCGATTTTCTCGAAACTTGGCAGACATCACTCTAGGCTTAATTCAGTACGTTATGCTAAATTTCGTGTAAATCAAAAGATATATAGGGACTTTGGGCACCATTTACATGAAATCGGACGAAATTATATACAAGAGCTATTTCTAAATCTGGACCGATTTTCTCGAAACTTGGCAGACATCATTCTAGACCTAGACTGTACCAAAATTTAGTGCAAATCGAAAGATATATAGAGACTTTGGTGCACCATTTACATGAAATCGGACGAAACTATATATGGGAGCTATATCTAAATCTGGACCGATTTTCTCGAAAGTTGGCAGACATCATTCTAGGCTCAATTCAGTACGTTATGCTAAATTTCGTGCAAATCGAAAGATATATAGGGACTTTGGGGCACCATTTACATGAAATCGGACGAAACTATATATGGGAGATATATCAAAATCTGGACCGATTTTCTCGAAAGTTGGCAGACAGCATTCTAGGCTCAATTCAGTACGTTATACCAAATTTCATGCAAATCGAAAGATATATAGGGACTTTGGGGCACCATTTACATGAAATCGGACGAAACTATATATGGGAGCTATATCTAAATCTGGACCGATTTTCTCGAAACTTGGCAGAAATCATTCTAGACCTAAGTGATTAGGCTGTACCAAATTTCGTGCAAATCGAAAGATATATAGGGACTTTGGTGCACCATTTACATGAAATCCGGCGAAACTATATATGGGAGCTATATCTAAATCTGGACCGATTTTCTCGAAAGTTGGCAGACATCATTCTAAGCTCAATTCAGTACGCTATGCCAAATTTCTTGCAAATCGAAAGATATATAGGGACTTTGGGGCACCATTTACATGAAATCGGACGAAACTATATATGGGAGCTATATCTAAATCTGGACCGATTTTTACGAAACTTGGCAGACATCATTCTAGACCTAAGTGATTAGGCTGTACCAAATTTCGTGCAAATCGAAAGATATATAGGGACCGTTTACATTAAATCGGTTAAATATATATATGGGAGCTATATCTAAATCTGAACCGATTTTTCCCAATTTCAATAGGGTTCGTCCTTGGGCCGAATAAGTGACCTATGCCAAATTTCATCCGATTCGCATCATAAATGCGACCTGTACTTTGTTTACAATTTAACATGGACAGACAGACGGACGGACGGACGGACATGCATAAATCGACTTAGAAAGTGATTCTATGTATATTCTCAAAAGGAACCATGGGTCTATCTCGTTTCCTTTTGCCTGTTACAAACATATGCACAAAGACATCATACCCTGTACCACAGTGTGGTGAAGGGTATAAAAATACTTTCAGCCACTGCAAAATTTGATCTTTCCCATACTGGGTTCTTCTTCAGTGGCGCCTACATCGGATTTAAATCTGTCTCAAATGTTATGCTTTTAAAAATTTCCATACCCTCCTCAACCAAAAATATACACTACACCATTTTCCCTATAGTTGAGATTTTCAAGTGGGTTAGTAAGTAAGTATATATATCTTCATATATATACACATGTTGTATTCGCCATGGTTGTTAAATGCAACAAAAAATATTACCACATATACATATATGAACTTTACATATGAACATAAATGCATTTTTTGTATATATGAACATTCATATATATTATAGCATAACGTGTAATGTTAATAATGGCAACATACAACTCTAGCACTACTACACGTCTACTACTCATAAGGATACAGTGATATGTTTGCTGCTGCTACCCACTAAAGAGTGGTGAGTGCAACAGCACGAGGATGATGATGATGATGGCAAGCAAGCAAACATTTAACTCTGTAAAGAATATGAAATGGAATGTAATAAAAGTTAAACAGAATACCAATTTTTGTATAGCATATCAACCATACAAGTATATACAAATGCTTTATGCATATGTATGTATATACATATATCGACATATATACATTCATATATATAGATATGCATAGATTTGTTAAATGAGGTCAATATGTTAATGTTAAATGCATCATAAATATTAAAATTGTGTAAGGCATAATAAGTGTACGAGTGTGTGTGTGTGTAATGTATGTAAAAAATAATAATAAAATAATTTTTAAATACGTAAGCAAATTAATTTAAAACATCATTAAATACAATAATGAGATTCCAACAAATATGTTTACATATGTATATTGGGTGGTGGTTGTGTGTATTATTTTAGTATTAAATTTAAACAGCAAATAAATATATAGGAATTATATACATACAGGAAGGATATAGATATTGGGATAAATTATATTTTTAATTTTTAAATTATTCAAAATTTTAAAGGTTAAAAATGGGAGTTTTGCCTAGTGTTGAATCAATACTATAGTAATTATTGTCCAAAATCGACTAAATACCAAAAATCGAGAGCTACCCTTATATGATGTATATACCAAAACATAAGCCAATATTGAGAATATCTGGTACATAAACTTTCTACCCATTGAAAACCGAAACAACACAATCACACCAGCAAGACAAACATGCAGATGGACTTCAACTTGTCTGAAGACGATTTGTCCATATAAACTGTATGGCCCCAATTAACCATTGATAAAACCAGTAAGGAAAGTAGTAAAGTCGGAAAGTATGCCAAGTTTCGTGCAAATCGAAGGATATATAGGGACTTTGGTGCACCATTTACATAAAATCGGACGAAAATATATATGGGAGCTATATCTAAATCTGAAACGATTTTTACCAATTTCAATAGGGTTCGTCCTTGGACCAAATAAATAAGCTTAGCAAATTCGAATAAAAAATGCGACCTGTACTTTGTTTACAATTTAACATGGACAGACAGACGGAAGGATATGCATAAATCGACTCAGAAAGTTATTCTATGCATATTCTCAAAAGGAACCATGTGTCTATCTCGATGCCTTTTGCCTGTTACAAACATATGCACAGTGTGGTGAAGCGTATAAATATATCACTGTCACAGTCCCATTTCCCACTTACCAATTGATTAAATCCTGCAGTGTAATTTTATACGGATCCTTCGACTTGACCATATCAAATATTTCATCTTTTAAATCTTCAAAATTAACAGCCTCGGCATTGCAAGCACGTATCTGTTCCTGAATACCCTTAAAGAAATAATGCAATGTTTGAGCCGTCAAGTAGCCCTTGTGTTGGACATCCAAAATACGAAATAAATAATGTAACGATTGCGGTTCATGACGATTATCCAATGCTAGCACAAAATCAAGGAAGGTCTTATAATCCATTTCACCATCAAAGGTACGACACTCATCAAAAACACGATCCAAAAATACCGATGTTAATGTGCCCGAACCATAAGCAGCCAATTCTTTTTTACTCAACATGCCATTATGGTCTTTGTCCAAATTTAAATAATTACCGTAGACCGTCAATACCGATGGCATGGAGAACCAATTATGTTCTTGAGATTCTTTTGATGACTCTTCGTCGCGCAACTCCAACAGTTCAGTAAGCAGGCCGGATGCCAGAATGTCGCGTATGCGTATACGTCCTGTGTGCAAAGGATCCAAAAAGAAAAAGAATTTCTTCACAACCGTACACACATAGAAACTCTGAAAGGAGGGCTGTACACAACCACTAATTTGTGCCAATGTCGGTATAATGTCTATGATATAATTCTCCATATCGATTTCACGTAAATAACCTTGACCCACATCATCATAGAACGACAGCCCAATACGTCCTTGTGTCAGCCACACTTTACGCATTGTATAATTGAAAATTGAAACAATTTCAACTTTCCCCGGATAACCGGAATGGCATTGCAGTTTGGCAAACAGACGGGCCGTTAAGTATTTGCGACATTTGGCACTAACCGCCTGCATTACTTTCAAATAGTCGTCGTAACCAATCAATTGCTGGCCCATTGGTGTCACTTGTGTACAATGCTTTTCCAATATGGACCACAGCGTATTCAATTCCTCATTATCGAGCAGTTCTTGTGAACGTTTTTGCAAGAACAATGAGTGGGCTTCTTTGCGTAGATTTTGCCTTAGGGTATCGTTGGGTGCTGGTGGTGCATGGAAAAATTTCGGTATTGTTGAATATGTTGGATGTTGGTTAGCATTTGGTTTTCCATTAGGTTTTCCATTTGCAGAATGCGATTTATTGGCACCAGTAGCAGCAGCGGCACCTCCACTACAGCTGCCACCGCTGCTGTTGCTGACTTTGAGTGGTGCATTTTCATCAAAGTTGTTGATTTCTTCTTCACTGGGTTTCTTCGTCGACACTTCAAGATTTTCAAATTCTTTAATAATATCTGGATCCAATTCCATTGTTATTGTTGTAAGTTAATGGAAATATTGAATGTAGTTTTGTTTATATATTTTTTTTTAATTTTTGTTTAAGAATTCCCTTGCACACAGAGATTATCTATAATTTTATGTAAACAGCTGTTACTGTCAATTGTGTGTTCTCTTTGATATTGAAGAGAGCGGAGGCTCGCTCTCTTGCTTTGGCAGAGAGTACTAAAACATGTTTATTTTGTGAATGATCACTACACAGGGTTGTATTTTGAAATATTCGTTATTTGCTTAGTACAAATATAATAATTTTTAATTTTCCGTTAAAATTTCGTATTTAAAGATTGAAGTAAAATGAAGATTGAGGTTTATTGGGAGATAATTAAGCTATAAAACTGGGTAGCAGGAAAAGACCTTTGAGTTGAAAAAATAAAAACTCGAAACTGGCCAAATATTTAAAAAGAAATGTAGTAATGAGTAGTAAATATATTTCGATTTGGATATGTAATGTAATACCATGTCTTTAATGAAAAATGCATTTTTCATATAAATGTTCGGATGTTTATTTCATAATAAAGAAGAAGGCATGACGTTATGATTAAATAAGTAAACAAGTTTGCTAAGATCGCCCGGACCATACTTTTTATAACCTCCACTATGAGGTGGACATTCAGAATACATAAAATATATCAAGACTTCTAGGAGAAAAAAAACTAATACTGACCATGTCGAAAAAGTCGCGAGGGCCTGAGAAAGAGATCTGAAATTGTCAAATAGCCCAATACAGTTATATGGGAGCTATACCAAATCGGGAACGGGTTTCAATTTTTGCTATTGAAATTTAAAATCCAATTAAAAATATATCAAGATTTGTGAGATATGACGGATACTTTAAAAGTCCGCCAATATTGATTGTGTTTCTTAGGCAGATTTTCTATCAATTAGAACCCAAAAGATCAAATTTCAAAAATTGTTAATCCAGCCTCACTTTGAAAAAGTAAGGCTCTATTAACACGATGGACCATAAACTGAACCCAACGTTCATGAAGGAGGATGGATGAAGGAGATGGAGTGGATGTACAGTGAAGGAGGTCCACAACTTGCTTGTTGACGTAATAGCCGAAGCAGAAATGGGTGGAAATATTCGTAATAGCCGAGGTAGAAATGGGTGGAAATATTCGTCGAAAAGTACATTTTCAAAGTTGATATAGCTATATATCGATTGAATTGGGTAGTTCCGGAACGAACTAGTTACTAGTAAATTATCGGGAGTTCACTGTTTGTGTGTTCCCGTACTGCAATAATCTACTAGATTTTACTATTTTCTTCGATATCATAAAGGAAAATTCTAAGAACTATAAATAATGTCGTTAAGGCAGACCAGCTGGATATTAGCTGTCACTTAAATTTGCTGTCAAAATCCTTTATTGTGAATTAGTTCCATTACAAAACAAAAGCCGAATTTTTTTTTTTTTTTTTTTTTTATATTATTTTGGTTGGCCCACTTTCTATAGGGATAGAAGGTTTAGTGCCATGTATCCGTATGTAGCTTTGCTACGAATTTGACTTTATCCATAGATGGTGGTTTGTGTTTTGCAGGTTGACTTCGATCTTCTTTAAGAATTTGACCACAATGTTCAGACTTTCTAAGCCTTGTGTATCAGTGAACTCTTCTACTGTGAAGGAGTCACATAGTAGCGAAAAGCATCTTCTTTTGCTATTAAATTTACGGAAATTAAAAATTTCATGCGCAGCTGTTTGGATTTTGTTGAACGACTCGTAATTTATAGGTTATCCGTATTTAAAAACACACGTGTTAGTTAAGCGAACGCTTAACAACCGCCATTTTGTAAAAATCTATTTTTAAGCCCATGGGCGTGTAGTACTCATTTAAAATTTTTTTTACGTCTTTCTTGTGAGCCGTCCGAGGACGAACTGAAGCCGAATTTTTGACATTAGACTTAAGACAAAACAGCTGACTTTCGCTAGCTGGGTGATCTCGGAAAATTCGTTATCGTAGTAAAAAATAGTAAATTATTGCAGTAAGGGAAGAGACCATGTATATGGGGCAAAGGATCTTAATGAAGGAACTAGTAAAAAAAATAACGAGAATAATTGATCCGCTACGTGAATTAGATTGTCCAACTTTTTGAGACTATTTTTAATATAAATACTCTTTTGGACATAATCCCCACGTAGAGATCTCTCCCAACTTTAGATATTTACTTTTTAGCCATTGTGCAGTGATTTAAGCCTCTTATTCATCGCAGGCGCTGTATTTTAGCATTCCGGGTTTTGGTGAAAAACGACTTCTTAGGCAATGTTCAATATAGGATCAAGTTTAGACGCAGCTTCCTATTTTAGATATATGAAGATTTTAGCCGTATTTTTCAATGCCGGGGGAAGTGTATTTACCATTTCAGTTCTTTGAGGGCTAAACACATTTTTGCTAAAAATTTGATATTCAACGGTTTCGATTCTATTTTGTTGTATTATGAATCTTATTAATTTAGTCGTGTTATCGAACATCTATCACCCTTAAATGACCATTGGCAACTTAAGCTGCTTTTTTCCCTTTATGGTACTCTGTGAAAGAAATGAGAATATGAAGTAGAAAAAAATCGAAAAAGGCCGAAAACTCCTGATGAACGAAGTCTGGAGATTGAAGATTTATTTGAGATACATTCAAAGGAATTGACAATTTAAACCCACTGGGTTAACGAAATCCAGTACAATGTTAACGTAGTCTAAAGTTCGGGAACGGAAAACTAATAAAAATTTCGAAATTAGTTTACAATCCTTCGAAATCTTCACAACACCCAATAAGATGATGGCGTTTCTAGATTCCCCATTAATACTACATTTACATTGTAAAATAAATCCTCTTAAAGGAGGTTAACCATCCTAAACGTTATAAATGCACCGTTTATCAAAAAGTGTAGCATACTTTAAGGACGTCAAACATTTTTGTATGTACTAAAAAAATTGTGTTGTAAAATATTGAAGATCAAAAAATCAGTTTATTCATTAGTCAACATGAACTGTTTGAGGTATTTATGTTTAGATTTGTATTGCATACTTTTAGGCGCAATTAGTTATTGTTCTGTACTCAACTTGGTTGAAGATTATAACTGAAAATATATTTGAATAAATCTGTATTATTTTGAACGTAAACATATTTTTTAATCAATTCAATTTTATTTTTCATTACAGGTTCTAATATAAAAGTCGCTTCGGCTATATTAAATTGTATATTAGCACGTCAATTATGTTTTGAAGATCCATCATGTTCAGCAATATTAGAAATTATACCCAGAGTTTGTGGTCCAATACCAGGTAAGTTACAACACAAATAAAATAAAAAGAAAAAAATTAAAATTCCAGCAAATTTGTATTTGTTGTTTAAAAATTGATATTTAGCTATTTTGATTTAAGCAAATATTTTTGTTTGAACTATTCAATATATTATTGTTGTTTGCGTTTGATAGTTGAATTTCTTTGGTATTTTTCATTGAGATCGACAAGTTTTGTTCATCATCTTAAAATGTGGATTCATAACGAACCATGTAGTTATAAACAAACATAGTTATGTTTGTCTATTTTATATTCTATGGGTTATGAAAATAACATGTTTATGAGCCATGAAAATATGATGACTTGCCTTTATGATGAAAATATTATTATGGCCACAACATATACATATATAAATATTTCCGATTATTAATAAAATTATTGACAAATGGTATCCTTATTATTTTCAATATTGTGATAATGACAACAATAATAATCGTTATAATGTTTATTGATATTTAGCATGTTAGGGTATGGTTAAGGCTAGTTTTATGTATCTAAGCGAAAATTAGGGAGAATACATAGAATACAGTGGGACAAAGAATATAGATAGATAATCGACTATATGTCTAATATACATGCTATGACCTCGTTTAGATTTGTGAAAGTAATTGGTATATTTGTATATAGGATGAAGTTTTTGCTTGGACAAAACTAAAGCCACTCTACAGTACAAACAGATAAGCTCTATAATTTACCGTTACAATTACTATGTTTTGGTTTCTTCACCTATTTCGGATCTTAAAGATCATTTTTAAATGGATTTTATTATAGTAACATGTGTCTGGTTTTCAATTTTGACTTACTGCCAATAATATAAAAATGACTATAAACAATACAGTACTCCGATAAAACAGCTAATTACCAGCCATTGTGAAAATAATTTATCACCGAAAATGATTTCGTAGAAATATTCAATGAATAAATCTGTAATTATTCTAATTATAACATGATTTTATGCAACTACATCAGTGGGGACAGTTCAGCACAGAGAAAGGCTGCAAAAAACATCAGGTCCCATTTAAGAATTCAACTGAATTTGTGAGACAGTTATCGTTGGATATAATCTCAAAAACAGAGCATGGACGAGCTATGGTAGCAGGCCCACATGCACGGAAACTATCAAGAAGGTTCATTTATTTCTATATATCCGAAAGATTTCATTTCGCAAAAGCTCATATTAATTGGAATCCGGAAAAATATTATGCCCTCTTATCTTAGTTTAATATTAAAGATTCAGAAATGAAAAAAATTACCGTGAGAAAGTCCAAAAATGAAAGGCTCCTGCCACAGTATTGGAGGAGGGTCAATAATGGTATTGGGAGATTTATGAAGTAAAGGATCGGACTGTTTATATAAATGTGTTGGAAATCGCTATTGTTCCCTTCGCTGTAGAAAATATAACGCTTGTTTGGGTGTTTCAGCTCGACAATAACCTCCAAACATACACCAAAACAAGTCAAAGATTGGTTGCGAGAGTCCAAAATCAGGGTTTTATAATGGCAACCACAATCATCTCTATAGAAAATGCTTTGCCGTGCCATAGATAACAAAATCAAATGATTTTCACAAATAAACAGACATAACCTCTTCCCAAAGGTTCAGGATAGTCCACGTTCAGGAATTGTATACACAAGGATTCAAAAATGCAAGCCGAGCGGCTAAAATTGTGAATGGTGGTTATGGTTCCGATACTGTAAC